TTCTATAGATAATTCAAATAAACTTACAAGTTAAATTAAAAGATGATAATTTCTAACTTCTAATATCAAATAAAAATTTCTACAAAAAGTGGTAGCTTACTTTTTTAAGGTAAAAATCACTGTTAAAAAACTAAATTATTAATTTAAAGGTGGATACTCTACAACTTTTAAAATAAAATAATAGAAGTGAGATAATTTATTTATTTTTAAAAACAAAATAAGAATAATGAATCAACACTCTTCTCAAATTGTTAAAGATATTAATTTTAAAAGACTAAAAGATCAATACACTTTTATGTCATTTAAAAAGACTAAAAAATCATTCAAAGATGATGTAATATTAAATTAGAATAGCTATTATCAAATACAAGAAGACTAAAAAGTCTTGAAACAAGATTAAAGACTAGAAAAGATTTGATAAGAGTAAAAAAAGATAATATTCTTCATTTCACATATACTATCTAAATAAGAGCTATATGGCAACCTTCTATAAGTCTTTTAATAGGTATTCAACTTACAAAATATGTGTCCTAACTTGTAAAATAAGTTTTTTATATGAATGCCATATAATTAGCTTGTACCACAAGCTACTAACACATATGACACATGACTAATTTGTTGGTCAAATTTCCAACCTACCAATCAACTACAAAAACATGTCTATAAAGATTCTAAGAAGTTTTTTTATAAAATATTATCAAATTTATCTACATTAATATATTTTTATCTATTCCTATTATTTAAATAATTATTAGAATAAATATACATATTCGTGATATCTATGCTAGAATTCATAAATTATATTTTTATAAAAGTTTTATAATATAATAATATATTCTTCAAAAAAATATAAAAATAATATAATTTTAAAAATCTTTAATTTTCTTTAAAATATTTTATTTGAAATATCTCATTTATATTTTTATATAAATTTTTTTTATTAATTTCATAGCAAAAAAAGCATCATGTAGTCAAGTAGATTCTAACAAGTTCATTCAGAAGATAATAAATTATATTTTTTTAAAAGTTACAAATGTTGCATAAAATTTATGTCAAAAATATAACAAAAAGGTATTTTATTATATTATAATAAATTATCTTGGTTTATTGATTCACTTATTTTATAAAAAAATATTTATTTTGTATTCTCTAAGAATCTATATAATTATATTAATTAAATTAATTTATATTATTATCTTTAATTTAGGTGGTTTTATTATTATTATTATTATTATTATTATAACATCATATATTATCTCTAATTAATCAAAAGTTAAATTATTTTTTATTTTTAATTACAAAAATAAAATATGTAACCAATTAGAGATGGTTTTTGTCTCCTCTTATTTATCATGTTGGTTTACTTCTTGAGCAGTTTTATACAAGAGAAAAAGGTGTTTATTGGTTGCAATAGTATTTTATTTGATTTATTGATTTTTTAATTTTTTAATTGATTGTATGTATTTTCTATATTTTTAAATTTTAAAAGAGTTTAGATGTCATGTTGTTCTCGTTGCGTTCAAGCTTCAGTAGACCAAAGCAATTGAACTAATAGAGGTGGGTTGGAACACGGGGAAATACTGGTTATATGAATTGGGTCTGTTAGTGTCACAATTGACTGTATTTTGGTTATCTAAAATTAAGTATCAAACTACAAAACACTGGGGCTTACTACTTCCATCTTAATTCAACCCATAATCCATTCTATGATTATCAATTCAACAATACTTCTCTCAATCATAATTCTTCATAAGCAAATAATAAAGAAAACAAAGAGGTAACATCAAGCTTATCTTAGCTTACGACTCTCACAATCTGGCCCTGATCGCTCTTTGTTCAACCTATTTATCCTACCAAAAGATGATCCGTCGGCTAGCGGATTCCAAAGATTATGACTCTTTGAATTCTTAACCATTTATTCTACTAACAACCTACTGTTACCAACTAAAATGCCTAACCATAAGTCTAATTCTCAAGATTGTCAATAACCAACCAATAACTTACCACAAAGTTTATTTACCTATTCTACATGTCGTTTTAAATTACACATGCATGTATATGTGCACACATTGCTTAAGCCATTGAATGCATTGCTAAGAATAAGTACCAATTTGTGTTTTATGGTAGAATAAAAAATCATTATTCTTTCATACAATAAAGACTTCAGGCACAAATTTGCAGCTCTTTTGTATAAGCAGAAAAGAAAAATAATAATAATATTGTTTAAAAAAAATCATAGATATAACATGAGGTTTTTGAATGCGCTTTCTACATACTATATATACTATTAATTTTCAATTTGCTACTATAAAAGTTTCTAAAGAGTTTCTTTTATTTTAAAATTGTTTTGTTTTTGGTTCCTTTTTACTGTTTTCAAATAACTATGAAAAATATATACTTCTCAAACAATCAAGCAATCAATCATGTGTTGCTTCATATGTGACATACAAGTTTAAAACATATCAGCATGCAAAATTCAGCAAACCCTAAACCAGGTTGCACTAATGAAGAACATGGAACACATACAAGCAACATCTGTTAATGTAAGAAGTAACATATCCAATGGTCATGAAAATTTCACAATTTCTTTTTCTTTTCTTGTTGTCTTTTACACATACTATTTTTAGTTTCATTCAGTAATAATTTATAAATGGGTGTAAGTGTGGGATTGTAATACTTTGAACATATTGAATTAATGAAAGGATAAAATTGGCATAGTATAGGGCAATAATAATTGTGGTAATTGGAGAATGGGTGCAGCAATAATAAGTGTGATGTGTACTGGGATGCAATGAATTGAATGGTGGTGGTGTTGTGGTGGCCAGGCATGCCACTTCCCCTGAAACCACGTCTCCTCCTGCTGCTGCTGCTTGCTTAGAAGGGTTTAGAGGCAGGCCCCACTCCCTTTCCCTTCCCACCCCCCCCCCCACCCCCCCAATAATAATGCCCTAGTGCCAAGTTCCTTCAGAAGGAAGGGGGGATGGAGAAGTGGAGGAAAGCCCTTCTGCCTTGTAATGGCAGCCAGCAGGAGTGGGGGTAGGGAAGGGGAAGGTGGGCCACACCATGTGAGTGTGAGAGGGAGAGGTGGGCCACCCAGTTACTAACTACATTTCAGCCCATTTCTCCTTCTCTTCCATTTCCAGTCCCTTTCCTTTCTCTCATCTCAATGCCTCCTTTCCCCCCTTTGACTTGTGGCCTCTGCCTCCAGCCCTTCATTTTGGGGGTGGGGGGGGGTGTTTTGTGTCAATGACTGGGAGGGAATGAGGGTTGATTAATTCATGGATGTAGTGATTCATTGACTGATTGCTTGATTGTTTGAGAACTTAGCTGGCCAGATCATTTCAACTTGTAGGTCACATTAAAAAAAAAACAAAAAAACAAAAATGGATCTGTTGATTTTGACATTTGAGGTGACTAAACATTGCAAGAACAATACATAAAATGATGTAAATTCAAGTGCAGTATATCATTGGTGATGGAGGGGAGCCCTGGTGTCTGTCCCATTCACTGCAGGATTATTTTTATTACTTTATTGTTTATTTTTACCTTTGCATGTGAGGCATGAGACAGGAGTTATATTGATGGCATGAGAATGAATGTATCATTAAATATGTGGCCAAAGGAGGATTGCTCTGTGGCGTTATCTTGTACAAAATAGCTGGATGACTCCAAGGGACAATGCAGTTTGACTATAGTTTGATGAAATTGATCTCTGATTTGGTTGGTGTGGTGCTTTCATGGTCAAGATTGGAGCCCATTCCTTTTGGTTACTTCACAATCTTGAGAAACACACACTTGAGATAAACAAACTGTCCTAGCAACATGGTCATAAAACTAGCCCTCTTTTCATCATCATCACCATCATCATTAAAGTCTATATGCAGGTATGTGTAGATAAAATAAGACTATATATTGTAAAATATGTACTCCAGCTTGTTGTGTACCTGTAACCTCTGAGAGACCAAGTTCTGAAAGATTTCTCCTTCTCCACCTCACCTTTCAAGGTCAAGGAAAAAAGGAAAGAATATATATATATATATATATATAAATACATTATACAAATGGTCTGGAGAACAAGGCAAAAGAGCAGCACTTTTGCTCTGTTCCACAACTCAATCTCACAATGGGGGGAAGGGAGAAGGATCAACTTTGGCTCTAGTGTCCAAACAATCTTGGTGTTTTGTTTTCTTATCTGCTAGTACAACTTAACTTTGGGAAGAAAGAAAGTATTTGAGAATAAAAAATCCAATGGGTACCATGACAATATTATAAAAATGCTAGAAGATGGCAAAAATAGTTGTTTGAAATAGTGGGAATGAATCCACCACAAGCAAAGACTCTGAAGCCACATGTTCTGTTGTTGCAAACTGAAGGGATCAAATGCTATCCACGTTTGAAGCAATCTATGCCCTAAACAAGAAAGAAGGAACAAGATGAACGAGAGAGAGAAAGGGGGGGGGAGGTATTGTGGGATGGATGGATGAATTGTATGTTCGCCTTTTGTGACCGAATGCGCACGTGAGTGGAGACGTTGATGGATGAAGTTCATCCTCCACTTGCGGGGCTTACGTAACTGACAACAACACAGCAAAGTTCACAGGAGTGAAAGTAACCTAGTGTCGTGGCAGTCGTGTCCGCTGATGTGGCACGTCTCGACAGCCAACTCGGCATTATTCCAGGGCCCACGTTGACCTCGCTTTCTTAGGAATGTGCAACAAACGCACAGGACTTCTCCACTCCCCCAATTCATTATAGGCTTGTCTGTATATAAATTGAATTTTATCTGAGGGAATTTTTTTGTTCGTATGATCGGCCTTCTCTGGCGCGGAGAAATGGGAAACTTCTCCCACCATGTCTTAATATTTTCCATGACCAAGCATTAGCTTATTATTTGTTTAAGTAGATGAAAATTTAAAATAGGTGTTAACCGGTCACAATTTACGTCCAACGCGAGTATTTCTACGAGTGTATCTTGTGCTCCGTGGTATGTGTGTGTGTTTTGCAACCTGTATTTCACGCCTTCAATGGTGGAAATGTTGAATCGGAATTACGAGGGAGACGGCCCATCGTAGGTTGTCCAACAACGGAGAAGGTGTGAAGAAAGTATACGGTAGAACAGAGTCATGACGAGTGCATGTGGCCGTAGCACAGGAACATTCAAACACTTGCGCAGTTGGCACGAAGAACGGGTTCAACGAGCGATGGAGTGAAAGTCGTCGTTCTCAGCCGAATGCAAATTTCCAGGAGAGACCGCAGCATCTAGCAGCGATAATTAAGAAACTCTCTCAAATTGCCGGTTCAGAACGACGATGGAACCTCCACCCTCCGAAACGGAACTAGTTGCAGTCGGGAGCCGAGTTTGGCGCAAGGCATGGCCACGGGCAGACGACGACCATGGTCGAAACTCTGATTGCCTTGACCACACGGCTCTGCCCATGGAGTGTGACGAAGAGTGAAAGATTTACCATGTCCCGACTATTTATGCTAAATTTAGCGAAAGTAAAAAGAAACTACTAAACTGATACTCACGCAGGAAGCTAAAGCCCCAAACCCGAAGAGAAAAATCGTGTGCTGTTTGTTTGTGTGGGCGGGTGTAGCATAAAGACTCTCTCTCTCGAGCGAGTTTGCTGTGTCTGCTGAATGAAGATCGTTGTTGTCGTAGGAGCGGAGTTGAGGGAAGAAGAATAAAAGTTGGTGGAAGGGATCTGTCCGTTGATAAAATTTTCGAGGGGAATTTTGTTGCAGGTTAAGTTTGGTAGTTGAGTCGGCGGCCAGGAGTGTTCTAATGGGGTCGAACCATTGGCTGGAGGTCGAGTCCATGGAGTCCAATGGGAAGGCGCAAGAACGCAAGCAGCGTTGGATTTTGGTGACGGGAGGCGCTGGCTACATCGGTGCTCATACTGTCTTGCAATTGCTGGTAGAGGGATACTCTGTGTTGATTATTGACAATTTGGATAACTCGTGTGAAGAGGCTGTGCATCGTGTGCGCAAGCTAGCAGGCGAATGTGGGGAGAATTTGAAGTTCTTCGAGGTTTGTTCACTTGCGCTTCGACCTCGCTTGGTTGTGCGTTTGTATAATTTTCTTTAAAGAATTCTTTTCATTTTTGAGAGAAAATTAACACGAATTAGTATTTTTCATGAGAAAGCCACTGTGATCAGGATGCTGTCGGGTTTTTTCTTGTCCACCGGCATGCACAGAGCCAACGTATACGGGAGATTTACGGTTGCAGGGAAGTCTGTAGGAGGGGCGTTCTTGTCATTGTCAGCAGAAAAGTTTGCTTGAAAGGTGTTGCTCAGTTACTGCTTTCATGTGAGCATGCGTCGCGCGCTTTGGACACTTACCTGCTACGCTGTGCTGTTTTTGGTTTTTGGTGTCTTGTATTTTTTTTAAAATTAGGAAAATGTATGCTTCGTGACGCGTCTCTATCCACGTTTGGTAGTGAGAAATTATTTAAAAAGCTTGGGTGTTGGACGTATTCATCTGAAGTTTCTGCTCTACATTACTAAAAATTTGCTAGCCCCGCGGAGAGGACGTTCTTGTTGTTATTTGCCCAAGTCTTTGTCTGGTAAACACTCCTCGTGGCTCTACGACATCTATCTGTCGTCTCTTCTGTTCATGTTTCTTGATATTATTGAGCTGCTGTTCAGTGTTGGCTCTGTGCTTTGGCTAGTACTGATGACTGTTACACTATGAACCACACCTGCTCTGCTTTGATTAACGAAGACTCACAATAACTATGGAGAGTAACGGAGTTGTAAGTTCTGATCAGCAGCAATAATATCAATAATGATTATGCTCAGAATGATAATAGCAACATCTGCACGCAACGTTTCGAATCGTGTGCAAGTTCATGTACTGTTTACGACACGTTTTTGAAGTCTTCTTCGTCAGTTTTATTTATTTTATCTATGTTTTAAAATAAATTATTTTTGTTACCGTTCTTCCAACGATTTCTCAAAGACCAATGCTGACGTAGCTACTCGCCTTTGATTATGCAGGGGGACCTGTGCAAGGTGGACGACATACAGAAGGTGTTCAAGCTTTACAGGTTTGGCTTGCGAAAAAACTCCCGTTTTTCTACTAATGTGTCCAGCGTGATTGTTTGGCATGGGTGCAATGCATGAGTAGTTTAGAGCGATGGATATAATGAAACCGTGTTGCCATTACAGTTCTTTTTGTTACAGCAGAGTTTAGCGCTTCATGATCTGCTTTGAGGTTTGTCATGAACGTGAAATGTTCTCACAACTCATAATTGGCAGGTTTGAGGCTGTCATTCACTTCGCGGGTCTGAAGGCTGTGGGAGAAAGTGTGTCTAAGCCTTTACGTTACTACAGCAACAATTTAGTTAGCACCATAAATCTTATGGAAGTTATGTCTAAGAATAACTGCAAAAACGTGAGCAAACTTTTCCTCGTTTTCTGGGAGGCTTCAGTGGATAGGCACTGTATCACATTCCTGCTCAGGTGTAGTTGGTCTTTAAAAAGATGAATAGAGCGACGCATCTGAACCCTTAAAATTCGTCTTATGAGGTTTTAACACAAGTGGACCATTGCGTACAGCTTGTATTCTCATCCTCAGCAACAGTGTACGGACAACCAGAGAGCGTGCCTTGCACAGAGGACTATCCACTTCATGTCACGAATCCCTATGGTCGCACTAAGGTAAGCATAAGGAACAGAAATTTGTATGCGAGGTGAGACGCAGTCACATAGATAGCTCCTGATGATTGATCGACATCGTCTTTTTTACATTACGGCCACAATTTAGATGGACGGAACTAGTGGAGTCCTTACGTGACCATAAGTTCAAAACCTGGGCGTGGCAGAGAAACATGCGATCGGGAGATTGACATTTTGCCTTCAAACTTGTGCAGCTTATTAATGAAGACATTATGCGTGATGTTCATCATGCGGACCCAGAATGGAAGATTGTGCTGTTACGGTACTTCAATCCTGTAGGATCCCATCCGAGTGGTGAAATTGGTGAAGATCCTATGGATTATCCGAACAACTTAATGCCTTTCGTACAGCAGGTCGCAGTGGGTCGTAAAGAAGTACTTACTGTGTTTGGCCAAGACTACCCAACCCGTGATGGAACTGGGGTGAGTTTCCTGAACATCAAGTCCTGTTTTATGTTACAGAATTGGATTATTGTCTCCAAAAAACTGCACACCTGTAAAGTGTTATTTCGTATTGCAAATTGCAACCTCTTCTGTTGTGTGTGTTTGAAGGAGAAACTGTGATGTATGCAGATTCGAGATTACATTCATGTCATGGATCTGGCTAGCGGCCATACCAAGGCTTTGGACAAACTCTTTACCACTCCTGACATAGGATGTGCAGTTTACAATTTGGGAACAGGGAAAGGCACTACTGTGCTTGAGATGGTGGCAGCGTTTGTAAAAGCTTCTGGAAAGGTAGCCGATTATTATCTTTCTCTTGCATGTGCCATGAAAGTGTGCTGTTTACTGCAAACTCGAAATCACCAAGGCTGGTATTAACATTCTTGTTTTCTTAACTCCGGTGCAGGAAATTCCATTGAAATATGCTGGTCGTCGTCCTGGTGATTGTAGGGAGGTTTATGCTGCCACCGAGAAAGCCGAAAAGGAGCTTGGTTGGAGGTAATTCAATTTCTCTTCATTTTTTGCGTTATACGCTGCTTTTGACTAGAATTCATTTGGTTTCTCTAGCAACTGCACATGATCATGGTAATATCACCATGTGCTTTTCTTTCGTAGTCGTGTTTGGCAGTTTTGTTCGTGACATAGATGTAGTTTTTAATATACGCACAAATTGTTTTGTGTTTGTAGAGCTAAGTTTGGCATTGCGGATATGTGCCGTGATCAATGGAATTGGGCAAAAAAGAATCCGTATGGATACCGAGGCCATCAAGAACTCGAGGTCCACGCACAGAAATTTATAAAGTCGGAACCCTTAAGTAATCGACACTGGGCACTGTAACGATGGCCACCTGTGTGCAAAGAGTCGCACGGTGACATGAAGACACATCTTTAATGCATATATTAAAAAGCTGCGATTCAATTATTACATCTTTTCATTCTTTTCCATTAAACACACAGATGCCTTCGTTATAGTTTGATAGCCAAAGAATACACAGGATTCATACCTAAGTTTGAGGGCAAATTATGAATACATTGAACCTTGGTTCTATAGAACGAAGATACCTAGTCTCAGATTTCATTGGTGTAGTAATTGAACTTGTGAATGCATATAATTATATGCTTCAGAGGAGTTTTAGTCAGGGGTTTACCATTCTACTCTAACTAGGAGATACTGGTTAGGACGACACCTCATATGTTCAGCATCAAGCATTCCTTTCTTTGTACATAAAAAGATCATCTGGATCGGGATGGCAGCTTTGTGGATTCCAGTATGATCATAATAATTCATGTGCAACTCGATACTCTTACTGTGCTGGTTCCATCTTCTCTTTTCGCATGCACATGTATATAACTTTTATCATGTTCTGTCGGGTTCGAAGTAAATAACGGTTCTTTGGTGTTGTCTCAACTTGTGACCCTCCACACATTGGAGCATGTTGCTTTGGAAGCATGCCTTCATCACCATAATTATAAACAAAGCATATTTTATAATTTGTTATTATTATTATTATTATTGTAAATGTTATTGGATATAAAAGCACCATACATCTATTATCTACATACTAATTTATGTTTTTCATCATTATTTCTATACAATTTATTTTAATAAGTGTCAAGAACATACTTTATTAACAAATCTTTTTGATGGTTCTATATTCATGTTCCACATTTTTGTGCACTTATACTCCAACTCTTAGATCCATATCTTGTAATTGATCATCCATTCTAATATTCCCCCCTCTATTTATTTTTGGCAATGATTGGTGAATCAATACATCCAAAATAATTTTGACTTCTTCTAAAACGTTATTTTCATTGTTAGTCCATATTTGCAAGGCTCTTTCTTTTAACATGCCTTGGAGGCATATATCACTACCAAATAAATAACATATGTTTAAAAATATGTTCTTTTTTTCATCTTTGAAATCATCAAAGCTTTAGTCTTAAAGTCATAGGTGCAACATTTAGTCTTAAAATAGTTGCTATTGCAACATTATAAATCAAATTTGTAATTGTTCCATTTTAAAATCAATACAAAAGAAGAAATTCACATGCACTGTTTTTGCAAATTTTTTTGATCAATGCCCTACAATGAAAGTAGTACAAATAGTAGAAGAACAAATAGAAGAGGGTTTATGGAAAACCAATAGATTTTAATACCACTAGCCATAATTACTCAACATCCAAATAGTTTAGTAAAATAAATATGCCAATATTAGACCATCATCAACAAACATTCTAAAAAGAACAATAGGCTATGATACAATACAGATCCATAAGAAATTTTGAATTGCACCTGATATCACCTTAGATAAGTTAGAGCCAATAGCATGACAAATTATACTTATTCTCATCAAAGAAATACTTAATCTTTGATTCAAAAGTATAATACGATCCTATAATGGCATAAACTGTCATCTTTGCAATACATTTATCAAATACACCAATGGCACAATAAATTGGACTTCAACTAGTATAAAAATATACATAATCAACACATCAATGTCAATACTTTAAACTTAAATCAACAATCAACATAGTACCAAGAACACACTATGGAAGAAGAAAGATACTATATACATCCAATAATCAAATTATACTAGAAAAGTAACCAAAATGGACTAGTATCATGAACATATACATGTAAATGAATAATTACCTATATGATTTAGATAATAGTAGGTAAAAGTAGATTAATTCCATAATACTTTCTATAGAAGCTTTCTAGAAGCTTCATAGATGCTACTTTGACTTTATAGGTGTCTTTAATTAACTTTTAGGTTAGAGAAATGGTCAATAAGTTGTCCATGTATCACATATGTTGGTAGCTTGAAGAACAAGCTAACTATGTGGCCCATACGTAGAAAACTTGCCTTGTAAGCTAAGGCATGTGTCTTGCAAAGTCAACACATATTAGAGGTTCTATAGAACATCGCCATGTAGCTCCTAATTAGATTGTATATATAGAAGCAAGAATGAATCCTTCTTCACTCTTGTCAAATCCTTTCTTGCTTCTAGTCTAGATTTTAGAGTCTCTAATTTCTTTGTCATTTGGCAATAGCCATTCTAGTTTTTTTTTAATATACATACAACTTTATTTCTATTTTTTCACTTTTCTTTTAACACAGATTTTCCAAGTTTATGCATCTTCTTTCAATTCATGTCATTGATAGATTGACAAGAGTATATTTACAATATTAGAGCTTTATATTTTCTTAATTAAGAATGAATTATTATTTTTTCTTGATAAGACATAAGCATATTAGAAGTTGCGGATTATCCTCTTCTGAACTAATATTGTTCTTAGTATCTTCTTTGTTCTCAAGTTCCCTCTTTTACTTGTCTTGAGCAATATTATACATTTATTTTGTAAGTATTATCATGATAGAGCTTCTTGAAATGAAGAGTGTAATGGCACAAATGCAAGAGCAATTGAGAGAGTTAATGCTTGCGATGCACCAATTCAGTTTACTACCACAAGGAGAAACAAGAATGGCAAAAAGTAAAGATAAAGATATGATTGGAGTTGCTTCAATATCTGCATTCAATCATGTCCTTTCTCCTATGGTTGAACATCCTTCCGGTACTAGAGAACCAAGAGTTGTTTTGCCTAAGAAGTTTCATGGCATAAGAACTAAGTTTTGAGGATTTATCAATCAAGTAAAATTTGTGATTGAACTTTAACCCCAAAGCTATCCAACTCCAAGATCACAAGTTAGATTCATTAGTATACTTCTTTCAAGTTCAGCATTATCATAGTTTTCATCTTTTCTTGAATGATAAGATCCAATATTGAATAATTTGGAGACTTTTTTACCAAAATTTTGATCTGTGTATCGAAAACATGATACAACTCATATTACAACCAATAAGATCCATATTTTACGACAAGATAATCGATCCATAACATTATATGATTTACAATTTTGACAACTTGCAATTGATATCAAGTAGGATGATGTTGCACTAATTAGCCAATTTTTCTATAGATTATAATATGAGGTAAAGAAATTGATGCTCAACTTACTTGATCCTAAAACATTGAGTCAAGCAATTGATTTTGCTGTAAAGTATGACAATCGACTTTTCAAATTCTGATTTGAGAGTCAGAGAAGTAGCCTTCAACATTACTATAATTCAATGGCAATACCAACACCTCCTCAATACATATATTCAAAAGTAGAGGATATGCAAATTGATGCAATACGTTTCAAACCTCTTCCTAAGCAAGAAAAGACTTGCCGTCGTCAAGAAGGATTATGCTTATATTGTAGAGAACCTAAGTACACTACTTAACATTATCCAAAGAAATGACACAATTATAAAATGAGGAGTACAAATGTCAAAGAAGACAATATATTAAAAAATGAGTTTGTCCAGCTATAATAAGGATCGTGTAGCTTGAATCTTATACAATACCTAATGAAGGTCCTATTCGCTTCTCAAAACCCTCTCCTTATTTTACGTTAAATATTATTTTAGGACCTATACATTATAAAGCCTTTTCCTTGTTAGATTCAAAAGGTTCATCTTATTTCTTAGATAAAAAATTAGTTAAAAGACTTAATATATCTTTAATAAGGAAAACTAAATCTGTTCACATAAAAGTCATAGATAATCGCTTATTGTCTTTTAGAGATGTTACTTATGAAATCCTTCCCATAGAAATAATAACTAATGATTATAATAGCTTTGTGGGATTTAATATCATTATATCTTCTTCTAATCTAATCATTTTAAGTTTATCATGGTTAGAAAAATACAACCCTCGAGTAGATTGGATTTCTTGTATTCTTGACTTTTCTAAAAGTATAACTAAGAGTATAGTTAACCAAGTAAAAAATCAAAAGTCTAGTATAATTAAACCTATGTTTGTCGGTGCGAGAACTTTCTTATATGCTACAAAAGAAGCATCACCTTAGGTCATTTATGCCACATTTATTTCTAATGGTGTAAAGATTTTAAGTAGTATTCTAAGCCAATACAAGGATTTTAAAGATATATTTGAGAAAAAAATGTAGATACTCTTCAATTGATACTATTCAATTGATCTTCAAGAAAGAACACAACTGCCATTTCGACCAATCTATAATTTATCACAAAATGAGTTGATCGAATTCAAGAAGTATACTAAAGAGAGTCTAGCCAAGAATTTCATACGCCATTTCAAATCTCCAACATGAGCTCCAATTCTATTTGTGAAGGAAAAATATAGATCATTGCAGATGTGTATTATTTATCAAAGACTCAACAAGATCATTATCAAGAATCAATATCTATAACTTTTAATATTTGAACTTCTTGATCAATTGAATCAAGCTAAGATCTATACAAAAATAGATCTATGAGGAACATACAATCTGATATGCATCAAAGAAGAAGATAAATAGAAGACTGCATTTTGAACGAGGTACAAATATTTTGAATATATTGTCATGCATTTTAGACTTACAAATACATTAATACCTTTTCAACATCTTATGAACGATGTTTTTTGAGAATTTTTAGATAATTTTGTTATATATTATCTAAAAAATATCTTGATCTATTTTAAGAATATATAAGAACATGAACTTCATATTTGTCATATATTACAAAAATTAAGAGATGCAAGATTCTATGCCAAAATAGAAAAGTATATATTCTATACTACTTAAGTTGACTTCTTAAGTTACATCATTTCAAACGATGGACTTATGATAGATCTTAAGAAAATTCAAACTATTATGGATTAAAAGCTCCTAAAAACGATTTGAGATGTCCAATATTTTTTGTGATTTTCCAATTACTATTGGATCTTCATCAAGGACTTCTCTCGAATTACAGCTCTACTTACACATTTGACTTGTAAAGACAAACTTCAATAGAATTAAGAAGTGGAAGCAACATTTGAAGCTTTAAAGACAACCTTTGTTTCTACACCAATCTTATATTGCATTGACTTTTTTAAGGCATTCTATATAAAAATAAATACATCAGACTTTGCTTTAGGTGCCATATTATCACAAATGGAAATAGATGATAAATTTCACCTAGTAGTTTTTTATTCTAAGAAATTTTTAGCAACAGAGATTAATTATGAGATCCACAACAAAGAAATTCTTACAGTTATAGATTCTTTTCAAGAATGGCATCATTATCTAAAAGACACTTCCACCATTTTCCATGTATACGGTGTCATGTTGTAACATGATTATATGGTGAAAGATGATAATATGGATCTTATTATAGAAGAGCCAAGTTAAAAGAAAAAGTAAAAAAATATGGATAAAAGATAGGAAGGTAGTAAAACTTTTAGTAGTAATACT